TGGAGGCTGAGGCAGGAGAATCGCTTGAACGGGAGGCAGATGTTGCAGTGAGCCAAGATCGCGCCACAGCATCACCGCACTTCAGCCTGGGCGACAGCGTGAGAGTCTGTCTCAAAAAGAAAAAGTGTGGTGCGAGAGACCTGGCAAAGCACAACACTCCACCCCTGCACAAGCTGTCTGGGGCTTGTTTACAGGAAGCCGTCACACGGGCCTGAGAGTGTTCCTGATTAAAAGGAGACTGTACACCTGGGATGATGGATCTTTCAGACACATGATTATTTAAATGTTTTCTTAAAAAGGCCAAATTCTTCCTGGGAAGAAAGAATCGGCAAGGTGTAGGGGAGGCAGGTGAGGTCCTGCTTAGATCGTTAGAAGTCACTGACTCCGTCGGCATGGCAGGGGAGAGGACTGCAAAAAGGCCTTTAAAAAAGAAAAATTGCAAACGGTTTGCAAATGTTTACGGATAGGTCCAGAACCATGAATTTTGACAACTAAAGGATTTCCAGAGAGGCTGAGGGAGAAGCCAGAATTGAGTTAAGCAGAGATTTATAACAGTTTCTATTGGACGGAAAGCCCCCATCTGTACTCAGAGATCTGGGTTACATTAAATCTCACTTCCAATGAGATCTTGTCTTAAATTTAATGGGCAAAAGAGAGGAGTTAGATAAGTATTTGTATCATTATTTTAACAAGTCTCTGCTTTATGAGAAACAAAAATCTGTTTAAGAATAGCAGTGGGTAAGTTGTCACGGTTCAGTTACCTGTTCCTGAAGAATCGACTCTCCCCTGGCTCAGGCTCTGTGGTGGTAGCTACTTGATTTACAAACAGGTGGCCAAAGAGAAAGTGGCCAGCCCTTCTAGGGCACTGTCCCACCTTGCAAATTCCACCTCTGCTTCCAGAACGGGACATGGGTGGGATGAGGACCAGCGCGAAGGAGAGGGAGGAGGTGCGTGTGAGTGAGGGGGCATCTGACTGGGGAGAAGGCCTGCTCTGCAGAGGGGTGGGTATCAACGCCCTTTCATCCTCCTCTCTTGCCTCTTGGGGAGACTTTTAGATTCTGCATAATGCTTTTTTAAAAACAAGCAAAATTAAACTGTTATCACAACTTCCTGTGGAGTAGGCAGAGGCATCCGCAAAGTGGTATTATTCCTGGTTTGCAAGAAAGGTAAGCATCAGACAGGTGATGTGGCTTCCCCAGGTCTAACAGCTGCCAGGCAGTGCAGGAAAGGCCCAGCACCAGGCGGGGGAAGGTGGGTCACACGAGGGAAATGTGGAGCCTGTGCAGACGTCCCAGCAGAGGCATGGCCAAGGGCAGCGGCCTCTGCTCCCACTCAGGGGGGCTCGTGGGAGCGAAGGAGTGGCAGAGACTGAAGTCTGAGGACCTCCGCTCTGTCTTTCTGGCCCCTGTGTCTTTCTCATGCCTGTTCACCCACCCGCAGTGTCCTCCTTCCCCAGTGGGGAGGGGCCGCCCCTTCCTCCCGGGGCCTGTGCCCAATGCTAAACAATTTCTGCCAAGCTTCTTGTCTCCACAGGCATCCACTGTCATTATTCTTTTTTAAAAAAATATTGGAATGGATTTTATTAAGAGAAAATCAATACACACAACATAACCTGCAGCAGATAAAGCAGAGAAACTTTCGCTGCCGTCTCGGTACCTTTCCCCAGGTGTCCCATCCACTCCCTTAGCCTTTGTCTGTGGGTCTCTGATGAACCACTTCTGGGAAGCCAGCCTCTCCGCTCCTCTTGCCAGCAGTCTTGTTCAGCAGCCCCTTCCCATCTCCCGTCTCAGCTCTGTGCTCCATCCTGGCGGCTATCCCCAACCCCAGCCAGACCAGCCGCCTGCAGACTCGCTCTTGTCTTTGGCCTCTGGTCAAGGGCCTCCCCAACAGGCCAGCCCATCGCCGCCTCCCTCCATCACTGCATCAGTGTCACTCCTCCAAGAAGCAGGCACTTTGGGGTCAATAGCCTCTGGTCTCCATTCACTCCTGTGTGACCTTGGATCCATTGCATAACCTCTCTGAGCCTCAGGTTCCTCATAGGTAATAATCTAGAAAATAACACTCCTTGACCTGCATTTTGGAACCAAGGAAATTACCTGGTATACGTAGCAGCCCTAACCTGTGCTTAGCACATAGTAAGAACTTGGTAGTGTTTAACTGCCTTCTCGGGGTCCACCTGTGTCCCTGCTCCTTCATTCCACCTCTCTGAGCACTGAATTGCCAGAGGGTTTATCCTCAGAACAGAGCAGCCTACCCCTGTCTGCTCTCGTTGGTGTACCAAGTGCAGTGGGCGTCAAGCTCCCCATGAAAGTCCTTGTGCCCAGAGTCCCCTTAGGAGGGACAGGGCTGGAATTTGGATGTAATGAGCACTCAGAGCATGCCAACGAGAGACAGGGACCAGAAAGTTAGAGAAGGTGAAGGGGAGAAGGAATGAATAAAGGGAGGAGAAAGAAAGAAATCACGGCGGCAGGAAGGAAGGGAAAAAATCTTTTTTTTTTTTTTTCTTTAAGAGACAGGGTCTTACTATGTTGCCCAGGCTGGTCTCCAACTCCTGGGCTCAAGTGATCCTCCCGCCTCGGCCTCCCAAAGTGTTAGGATTACAGGCGTGAGCCACCACGCCTGGCCGGAAGGAATCTTTCATAAGCAGCAGACATCTTGTTAATTATACAGTGACTGGTACAGAGGAGGGACTCAAGGCCCTTTGTAGTAATAGATGATGGATGGTTGGATGGATGGATGGATGGATGGGTGGATGGATGGATGGGTATATGGTTAAATGGAGGGAAAGAAGACAAGGAGGAAAGGAAGGAAGAGGGAAGGGGGAGGGAGGGAGACAAGGTGGAGCTAGTCTGTGTTCTCCCAGTCTGGGCTGCCCTTCCTGTCCAGCTCTGCTGTCCCTTGAGGGCAGATGGGGCTTCCGGGTAAGAGCTGCTCTGAGGAGTCCTGTAGCAAGGACTCCAGTTTGATTTTGACTCACTGCTTCCCAAACTTCTATCATCATGTAACTTTTTTTTTTTAATTAAGAGCACTTTATATCTTGAAGATACTAAAGTTTTGTAGAGTGCAGTTTAAAAATGTTGCTGTGGACTAAATAGAATTTTCACTCTGGAAGATTGAAGGGGTCATTGAAGTCTCTCTTGAAAACTCCTACTCACCCTTTGAAGCCCACTTCAAATGCCCTTGACACTAAGTGGTGTTCCCCTACTTTTCCCCCAGGGAGAATTAACCAGTGTCTTTATTTGTGCCTCCGTGACCCTTATACACCATTTATTCTGTTTCTTTCACGTGGAGTTGGCTGGTTGTGCCCGTCCCTGCCAGACAGAAAACTCTTCGAGGGCAGGAATTGTGTGCTGCTCAGCTGTTTCCCTAGCATCTGGCATGTAATAGGTGCTTTTGAGCTTTGCATATTTATCAACTGAATTAGTCCAAGATCTTTATTTTATAAAGAAGTAAACTAAGACCTAGGCAGCCACCAGGCCTGGCCCCAGTGTTAGCCAGCTAAGCTTGGCAGGGGTGTGTGCCAGCCTAGGTTCCAGCTCCCTGACTCTGAGCTGGCTGCCACAATTGCTGGGTTTTCTCTCAGCATTTCTGCTAACAGTCAAGTAAAGAAAGGACTCAGGTGAGGATAGACTGTAGCTAATACCTCACCTTGGTTAAGCAGATGTCAGGGTGGCCATTTCTGTTCCTATATTAACACCACGTTTATGTTACTGGAAGCTGCAGGTGCTTTAAGGGCTAATAGGCCTTGACTAGGGTCCTGCCCTGAGCCTGGTTGCGTAGAGGATTGTGCTTTCTCTTATTATTCTGTGTCTCTGACTGCTAGTGCCCTAGTGAGGACGGTAGCCCTCAGTTAAATAAGCTGACTGCTAGTGCCCTACTGAAGACAGTAGCCCTCAGTTAAATAAGCTGACTGCTAGTTCCCTAGTGAGGACAGTAGCCCTCAGTTAAATAAGCTGACTGCTAGTGCCTTAGTGAAGACAGTAGCCCTCAGTTAAATAAGCTGACTGCTAGTGCCCTAGTGAAGACAGTAGCCCTCCATTAAATAAGTTAGGTTGGGGGATAGCATCTTGAAGATGAGAGGAGGCCACAGAGAACCTAGCAGCAACTCCCTGGGCTAGGAGGCCAGGGCTGACCCCTATAGGACCCACTTCTCCCAAGTCTTCCTCATGGACCTTGGGGAGGGGGAGCCTGGAGCTCTGAACCAGCCTGGTGGGGACAGGGTTAGGAAAGCAGATGCAGGGAGCTGGAAGAGGGTCCTGGAGCCCCGAGGGCCACCACCACCCCCAGACCTGGTCCTGCCCACCTGCGGAGCCTTCACCCCAGCCTGGGCTGGTTCCTAGCATCTATGTCTGTGCCCCAGTGAGTGTGGCCTTGTCCCTACATGGAGTTCACAGGCACGGTGTGGCTTCCGGGGCACAAGGGCGGAATCTTAGGCTCGATCGGTTAAACAATTCTGGAGTGGGCATGTTTTGTGCGATGGCTGGAGGGTGGGTGGGGACGGGCACAAAGGTTGTACCACAGGTAGTTTCCTTTTAGGGCGTTTAGGGTTTTGTGACCCCAGATGTGCCTCTGTACCTTCCCCAGGGCTTGGTAGCTAGGAGGGACCCTGCAGGGGCAGAGTGATCAGTGCCAACCTGGGGCAGGGTCGTGGGGTGGGCAGCCCCCTTCACAGGCTGTCCATGCACTGGGGTGAGATGGGGCCCAGGGAGGGGTGTGAGGGGAAGGATGACCAGATTTTCCCAGAGTGAAAGTGTGGGGCAACAGAGACCCCTGCGTTTCCAGAGGAGGGAATGGCGGATGCTGCCAGTGCCCTACCCTGGTGCCCTCCACTGGGATGACTCTGAGCTGGGGGTCCCACATGCCTCCCTGAGTTCCTCAATGGGATTAAGCTCCAGTCACCAGGCTTTCTTCCCTCCCCTGTCCCCCTTCCCCACCTCCCTCCTGGGACTTCCTGGGATTACCTCCCAAATAAACAACCTGCCCTTGAATCTTTTTCTCAGGTCCTGCTTCTGGGGAAACTCAAGACAGTATAAATTGGTGCAATCTATTTGGAGAAAGATTTAGCAGTAAGTACCAAAATTATAAATGTACATGTTCACGGACCAGCAGCTCCACTTCTGGGAATTTATGCCATAAATATAACCTTTCATATGCCATATGATCTATGAATGAGGTTATTTATTGCAGCACTACTTATAAGAGCCAAAGATTGGAAACACCTAAACGTCCATCACTGGGGATGAGTTTGGCAGATCAGGGTTCATTCAACTGGCAGAATATTATGCAGTCATTAAAAAGGAATGGAGGGGGCTACACTTTATGGACTGATTTGTAACAATCTCCAAGATAAATTGCTAAGTGGGAAAAAAAGCAAGGTATAGAAGAGCACATTTGTATAAAACAAAAAGAATATATAGCTGTAATTGCTTATTTATTGGAGCGACAATCTCTGCAAATCTACCAAGAAACTGATAACCTTGGAGCCTGTGGAGAGAGGAATTAGGTGACTGGAAGTAGGGAAGGGAGGGAGATGTTCAGGATATTTCCTGTGCACCTTTTGATTTTTGCATCATGTGCAAGTTTGCATTACCTATTAAAAACGTAGTCTATACAACTAAAAATAATTATGAAGAATAAACATATACCTGGTGCCTGCTGTAATGATAAGTCCAATTTTAGCTTGTCTCGGGAAAGTTGAACCCATGGCCAGCGGCATTCAACCTTCTCTTTCTCATTTAGCATTCCCATAAGGTGGTTCTGCATCATTACTCCAGGGTTTCTAAATAAGGAAAGTAGGCCTGAGTCCAGCCTTCCCCCAAGATGCTGAGAGTCCAAGCCGTCCTTCCCCTATCCCCTGCCTGAGACATCAGAAGCTTCTTAAATAGTCCTGACTATTTAAGGGAAGAAGGACGGTTGCAGCCCTTCCTTTCTCGAGTGTTTTGAAATGCAGACCACTGTTTTTGAAGAGGAAGAGGTGAGGCAGGAGGCTGGATGAAATGATCTTTTCACATCAGCTCTTCCTGGGTGGGTACCTGTATTCCAGGGGCCTGGCGCAGTACCTGGTGCATTTGTTGGCTGGTTGGCTGGCTGGCTGAATGTCTTTTTGTCCCGGAATTCCAGGTATGCAGGAACAAGGGAAAAGAGGACCCCTCCTTCCAGTTCCTGAGGTCCTAGTCAATGATGGTTGGTGAGTAGAGCTCTGAAGTTGGACCCATTTGGGTAAAAATCCCAGCTGTAGCCTCCTTACTGCTATGAGATCTTAGGTGAATATCTACCCGAGCCTCAGTTTCCTCATCTATGCAATGGGGAGGGCCGTGGGGTGGGCAGCCCCCTTCACAGGCTGTCCATGCACTGGGGTGTGCCCCCTCTGCAGGGGATTAAATAAGGTCCCATCGGGGTGCTGCAAAGTGTGCCCAGCACATAGTAGGCTTTGCTAGGTGTCTGTATATCTCTCTCCCTCCCTTGGCAGAAGGATGACCACTGCCACTGCTGAGACCAGACACTGTCCCCTCTTGGTCTCCATCACCCTCACATCAAGGAGGTCCTTGTTCCATCTAACTGAAAACTCTCTGCTGTTACCCAGGCCCGTGCCCTCCTATGCTACTGTCATGCACAAGAGAAAAAGGTGTCAGCTTGTTCCCACTGAGCCTCTTCCAGATCTGAAGCTCCAAGGAAAGTCAAGGTTGAGTCTTGTGGGCCCAACTGTGGGCAGCCCCAGGCCCTCTCTCTTTGCTTCCAATCCACTCCATCACTTTTCTCCCGTCTGCCCGCTACTGGGCAGAGGGACTCTTGGTGCAGGGTCGGCTGTGAGCTGTCCAGGGTCCCAGGGCACACTCCTGCTCCTTCTCTGCCCATTCCCTTCCCCTGCACCCAAGGAGTTGGGAAATAGCTCAGATTCCGATGACAAGGAGACTGGGCCCCAGGCAGAGCAGTGGCTGACAAGTTGCGTGTTACAATAAATCCTCACAATTAGACCCTGCGAAAAACACTGCTGTCGCATCCCTAATATACAGCAGAGAGTTGGCTCAGTGTTCCTGGCAACCAATTCTTGAACTAAAAATAGTTGGCTGTGGCTTCACCTTTCCCTCCTCAGCATCCAGTCTCCATAGGTACCAGGGAGGGAATGACCCTGGTGTCCAGGTCCTGCCCTGGTGCTGAAGGGCAGAGCATCAAGGGAAGATGCTCACATTCACTAATGTGACTGTCAAGGAATTGCCCTGCAGAGTAGGGAGTGGGGACCTTCTGTGGGGGACGGGAGCCGGCCTGAGCTGTTTTAAAGTAAGTAAGAGGCTTTTTGAGTAGACAGCCACCTCCTGAGGCCTCCCAATGCCACCTCTTCAGCACCCTCTCCACCCTCTCGCATCCCCACCCGCCCAGCAGCAGCACAAAGGGGCCCGAAGGTGCAGCTTTAGGAAGTCTAATGGCCTAAGGAATAAGTTCTCACCCACTGTGATACCTTGGGCCAGTCACATCTCGGGGTTTCGGCTTCCTCGTCTGCAAACGAAGGATTAAATAAGTTGATCTGTTTCTGTCTAGATCCTTAGGCATGGTGAGCCCTCACAATGGCAAATACTCTGTCCCAAGTATGCTCACATGCATCAAAGTCTCTGAAATGCCAACACGTGGGTGTGCAACCCCCTCGCAGAGCAGTGGTCAGCATGGACAGAGAAGCAGCCCTACGTCAGACCCTCTGCCTTAGAACCACTTGCCAATAATAAGTCACCCACCACCCCTATGAAACAGGTGGTTCATGAAGTCTTGTCAGTCAGTCATCCCTTAGTCTAAATGAGTCTAAAAGTCCTTTCCTGGAAGACAGGGGGAAGCATGGAGTCTTGGGGTCCCTCCTGGGGCTGTTGGGATATCAAAAGCCTTACCTGGCTTCCCACCATCCCTGTGCAAAGCCCCTAAGTGGAAACCATGGGCCGCCACAAGACGTGGCCCCAACCCAGGTTTCCAACCTCAGAATGTCATCCCCTGTCCTGGGGTCCTAGGACTCCTCACTGTTCCCCAAACAGACGGAGCACAGTCCCACCTCCCGGCCTTTGCTCACAATGGTGCCTCCACCTGGAATGCTGTTGTCCCTTCTCCCCTGTCTCTCTCCCCTCTGTCCTCTACATTTCTCTGTTGGTAGAAATCCTACTCATCTTTGAAAGTACAAATGTCACCAAGTCTTTGATGAAGTTTTCCTATCCTGTGGCTAGAATGAGCCCCTCAGGGCCCCTCTTCTAACAGCATTGGAAACGATGTAGTGTTGGAACCAGAAGAATCTTAGGGACCATGTTCACCAGCATTTCCCAAGATATTTTGACTGTGACTCATCGTAAGAAATCCACTCTGTGTTGTGACCCAGCACAGACACACAGACACACAAGTGCATAAAACACACGTGCATATACATATAGTCCACACTCAACCATAGACACAAATAGACACACTTACACATACATGCAGGTACCTGTGGAAACATGTACACACATGTGCAGCCAAGAGAAATTTTTTTTATTTTTATTTTTTAGACAGGGCCTCACTCTGTCACCCAGGCTGGAGTGCAGCGGCACAATCTCAACTCACTGCAGCCTCAACCTCCTGAGCTCAAGCGATCTTCCTGCCTCAGCCTCTCGAGTAGCTCAGACTACAGTCACGCACCACCATGACCGGCTAATTTTTATATTTTTTGTAGAGACAGGATTTCACAACATTACCCAGGCTGGCCTTGAACTCCTGAGCTCAAGCAATCTGCCCACCTCGGCCTTCCAAACAGGCATGAGCCACCGTGCTGGCCCAGTACGTTTCTTTGTGTGATACTTACCTCTATTGTGTGCCATGCTCTGATGCAGTTGCTTTAAGTTTTTTTCTTTCTTCGAATGTTGGTTCTGACACTAAATTTATTTCCCCATCCTGTAATGGGTTGCAAACTGCAGTTTGGAAAGTACTGAACAAGTTCAACCCCTTATTTCCAGATAGAAGCACCAAGGTCCAGAGGGAGGAAGGGACTGGATCAAGGTCATGCAACCAGTTGGTGGCCAGACTCAGACCAGAGTCCAGTGTCCTTGATTCACAGCAGTGACCTCTCCTCTGTCGTGGAGCCGCTGATGCTACAGCTACTCCTGCGAGGTTGCAGCTCCACAAGTGAAAGGACCTTGTCCCCAGCACCCCCAACCCTGCCCCCAGGTGCCCAATAAACGGCTCCATTGGACTGACTGCACAATGATGCAAACGTGGTTTGGAAGTCAATGAGGGCTGTGCTGGAGTGAGGGGTTAATACATTCAGCTGCTGCGGCCTGGAGACAAGGTCAGCTTTAGCTCATTAGTGGGGCTGGGCTTTCCCAGGGCTTAGGAATTCTGAAATTCACGGTGGAGCAGAAATCCTGCTGCTGAGCTGAGGGGGCAGGGCAGAGACAGGGAGGAAGGGAGGCTGGAAGAGAGGTGGCGATCGATCAGCAGGGAGGGGACATTTTGGGGAAGGAAGGTGGTCAGGGTGGCTGTGATGGTGACAGCGGGTGGCAGGATATGATGGGATATGAGGGGGGCTACAGCTCATTAAAAATCTGAACAAGCTCCAAAGAGGATGGAACTCAGTCTCCCCCTAGCTCCTCCTGTCTTCCTCTGAGAAGTGGCAGGGGAGGTCGGCGAGGCCATGTGCTGATGAGCACAGAGAAATAAGGGGCGGCAGAGATGCAGAAGTGAGTAATTTCGACACAGCTCTGCCGAGTTAATATCAGAGGCTGCGCTGCTCAGAGATGGCCAAAGAGCCACTTGAGGCCTTTACAGCCCCCTCCTTCCTGTGACACTCCCCTCTTCCACCCATCAGAGCTCAGGACACTCATCTGTTAATGAGACAGGCAGCTGGTTCCCCACACCCATCCTTGGGTGGAGAAAGACTTGTTGCTGGCAGGCACAGACTCCTCAGGGGCTGGGAGTGCTAGGCCATCCCCTGTGACTGCCCCACTGCTTCCCAATGAGGGGTGTGATTGGCACAAATCACAGAGAAAGGAGACAACTAGGGTGGCCTGGCAGGAGTAGAGGACTGGCCATTGGTTTACTCATCTCCTTCCTGTGACACTCCCCTCTTCCACCCATCAGAGCTCAGGACACTCATCTGTTAATGAGACAGGCAGCTGGTTCCCCACACCCATCCTTGGGTGGAGAAAGACTTGTTGCTGGCAGGCACAGAATCCTCAGGGGCTGGGAGTGCTAGGCCATCCTGGACTGCCCACTGCTCCCCATGAGGGGGTGTGATTGGCACAAATCACAGAGAAAGGAGACAACTAGGGTGGCCTGGCAGGAGTAGAGGACTGGCCATTGGTTACTCATTCATTTTGGTGAGTATCCATTAAGCTCCTGCTGTGTGCCAGGCCCAGTGTGAGATGTGCCGAAGTGTAGCTGTCAACAAGACAGTTTAGAATGTAGCAGAGAAGGCCGGGCGCAGTGGCTCACGCCTGTAATCAGCACTTTGGGGAGAGCCGAGGCGGGTGGATCATGAGGTCAGGAGAATCAAGACCATCCTGGCTGAACATGGTGAAACCCCCTCTCATACTAAAAATACAAACAATTAGCCGGGCATCGTGGCGGGCCGCCCTGGTAGTCGCCAGCTACTCCGGAGAGCTGAAGGGCAGGAGAATAGGCATAGGGCCCCGGGCGGCAACAGCTTGCAGTGAGGCGCAAGATCTCGTGCCACTGCAGCTCCAGCCTGGCGACAGACGCGAGACTCAGACCACGTCTGCAAGAGAAAAAAGAAAAGAGAATGTAGCAGAGAAAATACCGAGCCCGGGCTTAGACCGTTGCTTGGAGCAGGAAGAGGCCGACAGGAGGCGCGTGTGAAGCCTTCTAGAGGCAGATGAAGGTTAAAGGCAAATTTCCAAAGAAGTTGAGGAGCCTACGAACCCCCAGGTGACAGGAGTTGAGATGGGATGGGTAGGCTGAGGAGACCCCCCTCATATATCTGTAGTTTGAATGGGGCCTCCTCCACCCTGTGTCTTAGGGCCTCAGGCTTTGCAGCATGGGAAAGCTCCTGTTTTTCAGTTGCCTTTAATGGAGAATTCGACTCATAATAAAACAAACCGTTCCAACAGACTGAGTCATACTCAAATGTCATTCTTTTTTTT